GTGACATTACTGGGTGGGCCCGGACCCCTGAAGCCCGTGTTAACGCTGGTTAGCTGTGAGAACCTGACGCAGACTACCGCATGAGTTTTAGCGAAATTATTCCCAATAATATCCTTATAATAATAACCAAATTGCCATAGCCTAAAAAGTGTTTTGCTTCAAGCTAATGGGAGGTTTGGTTTGTTTTCCGTTTTCGTACTGCTAAGCAGTGAGTGTAATGATTGTGACAGATCCCTGCTAAGCGTCATATTATCGTCCTTTAACATTTTTGTAATTTCGATGGTGAATTTGTAAGGAGCCCTGTTATCTGGTAAATGTTCTTATTAGATAAATTACTTTGAAATCCAAAAGTGAAACTTCAAGACCGAACTTTGTCATTGCTTTATTTCGGAGTACTTCGCAAGACCTTAATATGATATTTCATACAGGCCTATCACTCTCCTTTGTCTCGATTGGAGGAAATGCTTATATGCCAAGATTTATATAATCTTAAAAAGGAAAATAACTTCTGCATCCAATAATTAAAAGCAAAAAACTTAATGAAGGTGTGATATGCTCGAGGTTTGGAAATTTGTAATTTGGGACGAGCAAACTAGTATTATACGGTATTCAATAGACTTCAGTCCAATACTAAACGAGCACTTCGTTTTCAGCCAACCCGCGGAAGCAGCGCAGGGAGCGAACCACCTTCACCAGGACTCAGCTGGACATCCTGGAGTCGCTGTTCGCCAAGACCCGTTACCCGGATATCTTCATGAGGGAGGAGGTGGCGCTGAAAATTAACTTGCCGGAATCTAGAGTGCAGGTCAGCCACACACAAAACCTGTTTCCTGGTTTGGAACTTAAATGTTTAAATGTAGGACAAGAAAAGGCACTTCCCTGCACCGAAGTTGTCGTTTTCCATTTCGTGGCACCTTTCGATGGATTTTTTAAAAGCTCAGGCATCTGCATGATTGTGAGAAAAGTCTTTAATGTAAGGAAGGATTTGGCTGGGCTGTGGCAGAACGCAGGGCCACCTTTTGATGTGGTGAGCTTTCTTTAAAGAAGGCTCTGAAAGGTTTTCCATGGCTGGCTTTAGCAGCGCTCTGCTGGGATTAGAGCATATCTAGGATATGACACTATGACAAGCCCAGATATCTGTATTATTATTTCAGCTGCAGTGGTTGATTTTCTTATGGAGATTTGTATTTAAAAAACGCTTTTTAAATTGATGTTATAAACCACAATGTCATAGAAAACCATTTTACATTTATATACTCATCATATAGTTGTGACCATAAACGCCATCACAGGATTTATTCAAATAAAATGCGATAAAAAGGTTTGCTATAAAAAGAGTTCTTA